TTTAAGGGCTCCCCAGGAGTGAACTGCATTGCTGGTAGTGTCTCCCCCACTGCCCTGCCATGCTGCAGGCACAGCCCCCACAAAGCTTCTCACTGGAAAGGCTCTTTCTGCAGCAGAGGTGTACCTGGCTGGCAGCACCATACGTGCCTGCATGTGAGCTGGCACAAGCAATGCTCCCTTGTGTCTACCTGGACTGCCTGGCAGTGATGTGGGTGCATGTGTGAGCCCCTTGGGATGTGCATGCTCATGTCTCCCTTCCTGTCAGGGCACTGCTGTGGGACCACGATCTGCTGGGAGGACATGGACTCTGGGCTCTCGTGGCATCTACCTGGGCATCGCTGCCATCGCATGGGGTAAGCCACCCGCTGCCCGCTCACTAAGCCCAGCGTGACCCTGCTGCAGAGGAGCCTGCAGGTCCAGGCAAGCAGAAGGGCAGCAGTGTTATTTTGGGGGCTCATCAGTCACACCCCTCATTGCTGCCAGCCCCAAGGCTGGGAGGGGGCTGCATCTGCTCAGGCCAGCTCCCTCCAGCAGACCTTGCTCTTCCAAGGAGGGTTGGGGTGCATGGGGGGGCCCTGCAAGGTGTCTGATTCCCCAAATGCAGCATGGCAGCTGGTACACTGTACTGTGAACCAGAGAAAGGCAGCAGCAGCTCTACCCACTGCCTACACCCATGCCTATGCTGTGAAGTTGGGCATGGACATAGGCACAGGACCCACAGGTGCAAGGGTTGGGAGCACAGCTGGGGCAGCATCACACAGAGTTAGAGCTGATAATTGACAGGAGAAGAAATCAGAGTAGAAACTAATTTGGCTTTGCTGCCTGTAGGATATTTCCTTCACATGCTGACATTACACAGAGCAAAGCCTGCTGGTACCTTCTCTGTCCCTGGAAATCATCTGTGAGCTGAGTTATTTTCCAGAGGATCTTTCATGACTGAGCTAAGGAACAAAGGCAAATGCAGAAGTGTAAGAAGGAGGCTGAAATTTAGCTCTGAGGGGAAAACAAAGATGCAAAGGCACCCCAAGTGTGGAGAGTGCTGAGCACCCCCTTGGGAAGAGGTACTGGGGCTGCCAAGGGAGCTGAAGGGTTGAAATGCAGGCAAACAGCTCCCACCTGGGGACTCAGGTCCAGGTGGGACAGGGGGAGGTAACATAAGGCGGGGGAGATGAACTGTGCCATAGAGGCTGTGTTACTGGTGGAGCTGGAGAAAAGAGGCAGGAGAGTATACAGAGGATGGGTATGTAGCAGGTCCTTCTTGGTTTGGGGATGGAGTGTGTGAGGGTAGCACGTGGCTGCCCTGGGCTGTGCTGGGGAGGCAGTGAGGGGCAGGAGGCAGGTGGTGGGAGCTGAGAATGGGGCATGTTCCTAGAAAGTGCCCTGAGCTCCTGTCCTGCAGCCCTGAATTCCCAAAGGGTAAAAGAGGAGGGTGGTTGTTGGAAACCACATTTCCCTCAGTTTCAGTTCTGTTGAACAAAGTGGATAGTTTGTTCTTTTATGGGGAAAACAGACAAATTATGGGAATTTACTGAGAAAAATGGATAATTATTGGCCAAACTACAGCCCTAATTAGGTCTGAGAAGCCTTAAATGTGCATCTAATCTGCAATGCCCAGACCTTTGTCTGCATAACCACAGTGTGGTATGCTCTCCTGAGACACAGGGTATCCCAGGCTGGTTGTTCAAAGCAGACTTTGATCCTCATCTCACTTTTGGCACTTTTAAAAGGAGATATGATCCCCATATCACTTTCTGCAGTTGTGGAGATATTTGCTCCTAGGGATAAGGGAGAAAGCTTCTTTCTCTGGCTAAAACCCTCTGATTGCATAAAGCTGTGGTGTGAAGTGCTGTAAATAAGATCAGGGTTTCAGCCAAATGCTCTTCACTTCTGGGTGTGGTTTCCAGTTAATATATGGCTTTGGTCTGCCTGGTGGGCATGACCAGGATATGAGCTTGACTTTTGTAAGACCTTGTTTTGTAATACTGAGTTTAACAAGACTTTTCAGACCATCTCTGTCTCAGATGAGCAGGTTGGGGTCCAAATGCTTTTGGAGGTGAGGGCATACTTGTTGCCCTGCCTTTCTCCAATCTGACTCTTACGTAGCAGTGTAAAGCAAGAAAACCGAAGTGGTACACTTCTGTGCTCAAGGAAGGAACCATATTTAAGGAACCATCTTGATGTGGGATCTTCCCTTTTGGGAAGCTTTTGTGGGCAGGGGAACAGGGCCATGGGGCTGGGCTTTTACCCCTTGTGCTGGAGGAGAGGTTGGCATCACCGCATGGGGCTTGTCTGCCACCTGCATTCTGCTGCCACATCCCATGCTGCCCTCTATCTCAGCCTTCACCTTGTCTGCCCCACCTTCCTCATCCCTGTGCCATCCCCCTTTGTCCTCAGCTCCTTCTTCCCTGCCTGATCCATCCAGGTCTCTATGTACACTTAGAACCCCATTCTTATCCACACTTGTCCCTTTATCCCTTCTTATCCACACTTGTCCCTTTATCCCACCCCTCACCTAGCTGGTCACTGGCATCTCTTGGCCCTGTTGCCAGGCTTAGCCCACCCTCATGTCCCAAGAGATCCCACCCCTGACCAGGCTCCTGTCTTTTCTGCATCAATCCCGGACCTCATTTTCTCTTGCAGGCATGGTGTTGTGGGTGGAGGTGGGTGCCTGGACATACCACTATAGTGACCAAGGGGACTACATGTGGGAGCAGGCCAGGAATTACTGCCAGACCTTCTTCACTGACTTGGTGGCGATCCAGAATAAGCTGGAAATCGAGTACCTCAACAGGACCCTGCCCTTCCATGCGCGCTACTACTGGATTGGCATCCGCAAGCTGGGTGGCACCTGGACCTGGGTGGGCACCAGGAAGGCACTGACGAAGGAGGCTGAGAACTGGGCAGTTGGGGAGCCCAACAACCGCCGCTCCAACCAGGACTGCGTGGAGATGTACATCAAGCGGCCGCGGGAGTCGGGCAAATGGAACGATGAGCCCTGCAGCCGGCGGAAGAAGGCACTGTGCTACCGGGGTGAGCAGGGGGACCGTGGCCTGGACCTGGATTGGGTGGGCTGGGGACCTCGGCGGAGTTGCCGGTGGCTCCTGATGACCATCCTCTGTGTGTGCAGCCTCCTGCCAGCCCTTCTCATGCAGCCAGCATGGAGAGTGTGTGGAAACCATCGGGAGCTACCGCTGCGAGTGCTACCCTGGCTTCCACGGCCCTGAGTGTGAGGATGGTGAGCCATCATCCCCATCCCTCCCTCCCTGCTGGAGAGCCTGAACCCTGGTGGCAAAGCAGCCAAGTTCCCTGTGCTCCTAATGGGCTGTTGCGGCCATGTCTCTCCCAGTTGTGCAGTGTGCCAAGCTGGAGCCCAAGGGAGTGCACATGAACTGCAGCCATCCCTACAAAGACTTCGGCTACAACTCTACCTGCTTCTTTGAGTGCCAGGAGGGGTTCAAGCGGCAAGGGGCAGCCATGCTGCAATGCCTGCCCTCCCAGCAGTGGTCAGCAAACACCCCCATGTGCACAGGTAGGGTCTGTTAGGGGCTGGGGGTCTCAGGGATGCAGCACTGATGCTTTGGGGGGGCCAGCCCTGCATGTCCAATGCTGCTCAGGCAAGTCTTGCTGTGCTCCCTGCCCTTTGTGGAAGCATCTCATGGTGCTGAATGTGAGGGATGATTCCCCGATGAGGCTGCAATGGGCAGAGCAGCCTTGAGCTCTGGATAAGCCCCCTACTCTGCCTGGCTGTCCCACTGCCCTTGCTCGCTGTCCTGAATCCTACCTAGATGCCAGCACCCTGCATGCACCAAGCATAAGGTCAGGACAATGTCTTGGCACCTCTGTCAACCCAGTGGCACCATCTTCATCTCCCTGAGACCAACCTGATCTGCCTTGGGAAAGTGCTTGGTATCTCAGGGGTCCTCAGAGAAAAGGGGGGCTGCTGTCCCATTCCCAGGGCACAGGTGTATCCTGGCAGGGCTGGGCCGCCTGGAACGGAGACAAGGACCCATGAAATGAGGTTAGATAAAAGCTGGGAGGGACAGAGCATGGCAGGAAACCACAAAGAAGTGATAGCTGTGGTATGTGTCATGCTGCAGGGGCAGGGAAAGTCTTCCTGTTGGTGGCTTGAGGGTTTGCACCCAGGCACCAGGCGTCCCAGAGAAGTGCTGGGTCTTCTCAGGGAGCGTAAGAGCCTCTCTCCACCTTTCCTGTGCTCCTGCATGGTACATCTGCAGCCTTGCACAAAGATGGAATGAGTCGAGGACATAGGACACAACTGGAGACCTTCTGTATTGGGAGATCCAGCAGGAGAGGCCAAGGGTGTGCAGCACCTCTGTATGTATATTCTTTAAAAAAGGAAGCCTGCCTTGAAGTTAGTGTTGCTGCTGATGCCTCTGCAGGGTGGGCTTGTGGTCCAACCTGAGGCTTGCTTTAGGCAGCTGAGACCAGAAAAGCTTTCTCCTGCTGAGGGGAACAGGCATGGAGATGTGATATGACTGTTCTGTAGCCAGCATCCCCATCTGGGCTAGGGTCAGGAGCTGGCTCCCAGTTTTGTGCAAGTCCTGACTTCCACAAACATGGGCTGCACTTGCCTGCTCCAGGGTTTCCAAGTTCCCGAAGACTTGCCTTCCCAGGTCATTGTTTGCCTTCCCACATCATTGTGTTTTCCTGCTGGCTGTATGGATGATTGATTTTTGGGTTTTTTGCAAAGAATCAGAGGAATCAATTGGTTGCCTGCACTGATAACAAACCAGTGTTATAGCAAGCATTGCCAGTTGGGCTTACTCCAAAAATGAGCAATGCTCTGGCAAGGCTGATGGTGCTGCAGGGTCTGTGAGGGACAAGACTGCCTGCCCTGCCTCAAACCCTGCCCTGTGCGTGCCTGCAGCTGTCCTATGCCCATTGCTGGCCGGCCCTAAAAGGGGCTGGGTTAATTGGTCACACACATACACACAGGGCATGTTCACCAATAGATACCTCTGGGGATTCTGTGGGAAACAAAGCTTGCCTGTAAAACAGCTGTGAAAGGATAAGTCTACCTAGGAAGGTGTTTGGTGTCAGTCTGAAAGCAGAAGGTGCAGGGAATGAGGTCTGTCTCACTTGGACTGGGTGATGGTGGTGTTAGATGCCCTCCTGGCACTAACCTGCAGTGGTCCCACAGGCAGCAGAGCTGCTTACCCCAACAAATGTTGGGTGCTGATCCAGCATGCAGCAAAGCACACCCTGGGCACAGCCCAGGGAGGCTGGCACACAACCCCTGTAGCAGTCTAGTCATGCCATCCTGGTCTCCTACAGCTCCAAAGCCATCTAGGTGTCCTTCCCCCTGCTGCTCTGGGGCAGGTCACTGCTCCAATAAAGTGAGGGCAGCAAGTAGGACTGTAGCAGCTGTGATCCTTTGTCCCAGGAGCTGCAACCCAAGGGATAAACAGGGCTTGGCAGATCAGCAATTGTGTCCTCCCTGGAAATCACTCATAGGGCACAAAATAGTTGTACGAACTATTGTCACTACTAGTAGTACTGTTTTTGAAGAGATGAGACTTCTCTGGATGAGAAAGGTGAGTCCAAGACATATCTCCATAGACCGGGTTTTATTTGATTGGGATTCAGCCCTAATCCCTAGATTTAACCTTATCTCTGCTGTTTCTGACATCTGCTCTCTCATTGCAGCCATCACCTGCCCAGTGCTCAGCCCAGAGAGCCGTGAGTGCACAGCCACAGGGACGTGGACGGGGAATGCTGCACACTGTGAAGGTAGAGCTGCTGTCTCCCCAGTCTCTTGTGGTCACAACAGTTTAGCCTCATAGTCCTCAGGCTCCTACTTGGAGTGTTTGTCTATCCCTGCAGCCATCACCTGCCCAGTGCTCAGCATTCCAGACTGGGGAGAGCTGAACTGCTCCCACCTCCATGGACATTTCTCCTTTGGCTCCACATGTGCCTTCTCCTGTGCCAGACTGGGGAGAGCTGAATTGCTCTCACCTCCATGGAGATTTCTCCTTTGGCTCCACATGTACCTTCTCCTGCCAGACAGGGTTTGCACTGGTGGGGTCAGACAGTCGCAAGTGCACAGCCACAGGGACATGGACAGGGGATGCAACACGATGTGAAGGTAGAGCTGCTGCTAGAGTGCAAGGTGTCATTGGCCTTGGGGTGACACCAGGATGTTCCCCAGCCCCTTGGTCCCAGAATTTTAGTTTCCCAGTTTTCAAACTCCTACTTGAAGTGTACCTTATCACCCTGCAGCCATCACCTGCCCAGTGCTCTAAGGTGTCACAGGCCTTGGGTTGAACCTGAGATGTTCTCCAGTGTTTTGGTCCTCTCATCCTAAGAGTTAAGCCTTGTAGTCCTCAAACTCCTGCCTGAAGCCTGCTTCTTTGCCCTGCAGCTATTGCCTGCTCAGTGCTCAGTGCTCCAGACCAGGGAGAGCCACCAGAGCAGGGAGAGCTGAATTGCTCCCATCTCCATGGCAACTTCACCTTCGGCTCCACATGTGCCTTCTCCTGCCAGAGAGGGTTTGTGCTGATGGGGGCAGAGAGCCGTGAGTGCACGGCCATGGGGACCTGGACTGTGAGTGCATGGCCACAGGAGTCTGGACTGGGGACACACCACGCTGTGAAGGTATTGCTGCAGCTCAAGGTGTCACAGGTTTTGGGTTGACCATGGGGTATTCCCCAGCCTCTTGCCCCAGCAGTTTAGCCTCATAGTCCCCAGGCTGCTGCTTGAGAGTGGATCTGTGTCCCTGCAGCTGTTGCCTGCCCAGTGCTCAGTGCTCCAGACCGGGGAGAGCTGAACTGCTCCCATCCCCACAGAGACTTTGGCTTTGGCTCCACATGTGCCTTCTCCTGCCAGACGGGATTTGCACTGGTGGGATCAGACAGTCACAAGTGCACAGCCACAGGGACATGGACAGGGGATGCAACACGCTGTGAAGGTAGAGCTGCTGCTAGAGTGCAACGTGTCCTTGGTCCTGG